AAGCCATGAACTTTTTCAAAAATCTTGAAGAAAGAGGCATATTTATGACCCCACAAAACTGCAATTCTTTCCCCATTTAACCGAGTCTCTATCTTCAGTAGTTTCCGAGATACCCATAGAGAACATCGTAGGAAACTCACCCTGTATAATTTAAATTGTTTTGTAACAAATTGCTCACTATTTTATGGCAAATGCTGAAGCTCTGCAAACCTTAGTCAAGACTTAATCAAAGCACGTGTGTTTGTAATTTTGGGTGTGGCTTAACATAACAGGATCGGGCTAAGCCAAGGCAGATTTCTGAATATATTTCCTTCGGCCACACACCCGCTTTACCCAACCCCTGAGAGGTACCCGAACAGTACAGCGTAATAGATTCTTAAGACTATTTGCGTAACAGAACCTACTCATATTACTTGCAACTTTTTCACAGAAGATATAAATATATAGAAAATATGGAAGAAAATATAAATCCCCGTAAAAGATACCAGGGCGGAACTATCCGCACAGCTCTCTAATTAGATTCAAAGTAATTGACGTTTAGTGAATGGGGGTTTTCGTAGGTTGACGTTCAGGCGAAATCCCAAACCAAAACCTGAAACTTCCCCCGAAACTGGATATTTCAAAAGAGCGCGAAAGCGAGAGTTCCATAGCTTCTCGGGCAAGTTAAATTTTCAATTAGACTGACAGATAAGGCAGGCACGAGTCAAATCGATAAAACCGAAATATGTTAGTGTTAAGTTCATGTACGGAATCAAATGCTAAATCGAATTCTTTTGAGTAACATTAGATTTTGTACATGACTGTATACCTACAGGGTGGTTCGAATTGTAATCGGGAAAGTTTGGCAACATATAAAAGTAAGTAAAGAAGTTCGTATAAGATCCTGTCCTAAAATGATTCGTCTTATTCGATACAGGGTGTAGAAGTTACATTTTTGTTTCGTTTTTTTAATAAATTCTAAACTAACGTCCATATTTGGAAGAAAATTAGTGTATGGTTAATTTTTGCTTGAGAAATTCGATTTCAGTGCCCATATGGCTCCTACTCATAGGTGGCGCCACCTACATAGTTTTTAACTGTTTTGATGTGTAATAAATTTTCATCCGTACCTGTATTATATTAGACTAAGTGAGAAATGTACATTCGCGTGGTATTTTACGTAAAAAAGTTTCTTAGTACAAATCGCATGGTTCTCAAGATATTTGAAATCGAAATAGTCAATCATGACAAAAGTCATGTCAGCATTGACACAAATTAAACATGTTGATTAAATAGTTATTAGACTAAAATAATAAATTTGAAATGTCATTGTGTCAAAGGTTCAATAGAAACCGATTTGCCATAATTTTAACTTGAAAATGTTTTTATTAATGTAAAAAAAATCCAAATTTATAATTTCAGTCAAATAACTATCTAGTCAACATTTTTTGTCAATAATAACATGTACTGACTATTTCTATTCCAAATATCTTGAGTGATCGATTTTTAGCAAGAGACCTTTTTATACTATAAAAAATTACAGAAATATATATGTTTTAACCATAAATGTTTTAACTAAGTAGTTTATACAGGTACAAACGAAAAGTTATTACTCTTACGTTTTTTTTTACTGTTACGTTTTTATACTTTAAAAGTATAAAAACACCTACGTGGCGCCTCCTACGGAATCATATTGACATTGAAATTATATTTCTCATGTCAAAAAATTCCCAGACACCAATTTTCATCCTCATACCGACTATAGTTCAGAAATTATTTGGAGAAAACCGAAATAAAAATAACCGAGTTATTTTCCTTTGAAATTCAAATCAAATCAAATCAAATCAAATCATTTATTGCATGTTAATAGATACAAGTATCCTTACACAAAGTCATATTTTGTAAAATGCAAAATTATAAAATAAGCACAATAATTATCTAACAGTAATTTAAAGTACACAAAAAAACAATACATACACAATGTAAATGTTTTAACCTATAACCACGCTATAACCCTTCACTGCTTTCTAAAAAATCAGTAACACTAAAATAAGCCATATCAAGAAGGTAGCTTTTAATTGTCGTTTTAAATTGATGTCTTGGTAAATTTCTGACATTTTGAGATAATTTATTAAAGCATGCAGGAGCATAATGAAGGCTGGAGTTCCAAGATCTTCCAAGGCGCAAATGAACAGGCTTTATATTCATTCTGTTTCTGGTTGCATAATTGTGTTGTTCATCATGCGTAGTATATAGTTCTAGGTTATCCTTCACAAATCAAAGACACTGGAGGATATAGCAACATGGAAGTGTCAGTATTCCCAGTCTTTTGTAGGCGTTTTTTGTATCTGCTTGATAACTTAAATTTGACAAAATTTTCAATGCTTTTCTTTGCAGTCGAAACAGTCTGTCAGCATGAGCTGAGTGACCCCAAACAAGTATTCCATAAGTAAGCACCGAGTGAATGAGAGCATGATAGGCAGCTACTAACACATCAGTCTCCACACACTTAGCCAATCGCCGAAATGCATACATGCTTATGGAAACCTTCCCTGCCACATAGTCTACGTGACTTTCAAAGCTCAGTTTTGTGTCAAATTTTATTCCCAGAAATCGGACACTGCAGAAATCTACTTTATATTTTGTTTTAAGAGAAAAAATAACTCTTTCTGTTTTAGTGTCATTCAGGCATAATCCAACCAACATTTAGCAAAATCGATTCAAAATTAGTTTGAATTTCTTCAGGGGATTTCCGAGCACATAAGATAGTAGTGTCATCGGCAAACAAAATCAAATTATTCTGAAGTGTAGCAACGGGTAAATCATTAATGTAAATTAAAAACAATAAAGGTCCTAATACTGAGCCTGAAATTAAAAAGAAACTAATTTGGAAGAGCTATTCTTAGTGGGAAAAAAACAACCGATATATTTTAGCAAAATAAAACACTAAATCACCACAATACACCAAAACACTTTTACTTTTACATTGGACGCGCGTTTCGCTAACCATGTTAGCATCATCAGCAGATGATTATATACTCTACTAAAAAAAATTAGTTATAATCATCTGCTGATGATGCTAACATGGTTAGCGAAACGCTCATCCAGTGTAAAAGTAAAAGTGTTTTGGTGTATTTTGGTGATTTAGTGTTTTATTTTGCTGTGTAACAGCAAAGGTTCCAACCCTCAACTGTAATCAATATATTTTACACATTTTATTTACATGTATAGTATTCCATGCAAGAACTATTTACATAAACCTGGTATTTACACTATTTAGTTTCCTTTACTTCCCATATGTTCCAAAACTATTTCATAAGATAGCTTACATCCCCTCACTCCTGGAAACTGGGAGTTCTCCCCAAATATTATTAATTAATTAGTTGAATAACTAACTAATTAATTTAGTTTGCCCCTAAAGCAATAACCGTTGATTAGTTTCGAGATACTTAGAAGGTGGGAAATAGCTTTAATATTTTTAATATGAAACACGCTATATTATTCATTTTACATATTCCCGCAAAAAATACGAGGAAAAATAATTTTGTAGATGTAGATGTAGATTGTATGGGAGGGGGGAAGTTAATCACTGCCACCTTAGGGTAAGTCCGGTACAGATGCCCCACCGGGTGAGATGGCCACAGCGTGTAAATTTCTAATCATGTGACTTATCAGTTGCTTCTCGCTAGATACGGCAGTAGTTTACCTGCTGCTATTATGGTCTGACATAATTTGAATGTCAATAAAAAACAGGCTAGTTTTTTTGAAGGCTAGGAAAAACAGGCTAGAATTTGCGGTGCATTTCTCCCATGTTGGAAGGCCATCTCTCCCGCAACGTAGGAAGAGATGGCCAATTTTCTATTTTTTTATTGTTCTCTTGCTATTATATATACTTACTTATTATATTACTATCTTACTCCTATTATGAATTATTATTAAAGATAGTTTAGGATTGCATCATTAGTTTCATTTAAAATTAACTATAGAAAACGCCACGAATGTTTGGGAGTGATTCATCGGTCGCTACCATGTGAACTAATCTGTTCAAGGTCACATAAAACTTAATTCCAGTGCCGTGGTGTTTCAAATCATATAATAATCAATATATAATCTGTTGTAATTTGTTGTTTTAACTGTCAGAGTCTTGTCAAAACATATATTTGGTTATAAATATAAAATGGAATGCCCCATTGATCGCACTGCAAGCACACCAATGGACTGACGCACAAAAACGAATCAATCAAAGAAACGCGATATAGTGTCGTCTTTGTCAATCACGCTAACATTTTAGAATAAGTAGGAGGAGTGCAGGCAGATGATTATACCAGGCCTTTAAAAACGTACGTCTGCGGTAAAAATTTACGTTTTTAATGTAAAAATGATAGCATGCGTGTCGATTCTAACTTCATCAAGCGATGACTCACTCCCAAACATTCGTGGCGTTTACAGTACCAATATGTATTATTAGCCCCAAAAGAAAAGTGGGGCATCTCTACCGGACTTACCCTATAGATCTTGTGCCCCCTGTGTAGCAAAAATTAGTGTTTGAGACGGTTTTATATAACTTAGTATTTTTATGAACTCTTGTGAGGCGTAGCGAGGGCACTTGTATTGGGGGGGGGGGCTATTTTAACCTGTTTAATTTCCCATTCAATTCGGACATTACCTATGTATTATAATACCCTATCCTATGATCGAGAAAAAACGGCTTAATCCGGGTTAACAATAAAAAAACAAACAACCAATCACGGCGGGTCTCGATCAATTTCAGGAAACGTGGTGCTAATTTTTATAACACGGGCTTATATTTATCGTAATATTTCCAGGAATGTTTTGCGAAATGTTTTCGAAATATTACCAGAAATATTTCGTAAAGCATTTCGTGGATAGTGTAGCGGCTGTTTAAAATTATTAATTTTTGAAACATAGCTACAAATAGTGCAATTGTAAAGCTCACTGTCTATGTTCGTAGTTGTAGAGATTTGGAGCGCTGTATTCTAAGAATGCTTCTTTCGTTTCAGGTATTCCAACAAGCAGAAATTTGGTTTAGTTTGGACGGAAGCAGATATCGGCCAGAGCCAATCAGAGCAACGATTGCACCGGACCACAGTCGAGAATCAGCCAGGAACGTTAGCATAATTTTGAAAGGCAGACCGGCAAGGTAAGATAATTTGCAAAGGGCAAAAGTCTGGAATAGTTTGGAATCAAAATACTTTCTTGAACAATGGAAAATCGTATAGTCGCTGGAGTATTGAAAAGATTTCCATACGATCAGTATTAAACTCTACTACCTAGTTAACTCTATTCCCTCCTTTTTATTAAGTTTTTAATTTTCAAAAAATAATAATTTTCAAGTTGATGATAGATTTTGAAAATAATTCATTATTATCAAGTTAAGAGTTTGAGAGGTTTTAACCCTAAATACCATATAATCTAAAAAAACGGCGTCGAGATGGCTTGGAAATGACGATCGATTACACTCCTCCATATAATTTTACATATAAAATGACAGTGATCTTAATTCCACAGCCATCGTTGGCGCCGTTTTTTTTGATCATATTGTATAATTGACCAGGAAAATTTGTTTAGTTATGAGTGTTTAAAACAATGACTAAAGAATATAAGGATATGTAATGTCCATATACGGGCTGCAGCAGAATTTGTGACAATAGACGCCATTTTTTTTATGGCGACGAATGAGTCATCAACTGTTCATCAGCGGCAATTTTAGCGATTTTTAATAGTTTGTGTATTGAATTTCGCATAAACTTTATGACAATAGCGATTAATTGTTCAGCTTTCAAGTTAAAAGCCTCAGCGATAAGAAAGAGCCAGGAGTTACGTTTCATAGGTAAATAAACAGTCCGCTCCACCTTTTTAGCGTTTTCTTAGTTTTCTTATTGAATTCGATAATTATTTTTCTGATATTATATGTACTTGATGTAAATTTTGTTAACATTTTAATACGGTTTTTCGTAATTAATTAGTATGATACCACCCTATACACCATAGGCGTAGTCGAAACGATTATCAAAAAATATAAATATCTCTTCAAATAGCTAAGTTAAGAAAAATATGTTCCACGGCACTGTTTGGTGACATCGTAACAATTTGCTCTCGGGTGTTATTTGTCCTTGAATTCTTTAGTCTTGGTTTAAAACCTTCCAATACGATTATTATAAGCCATTGATTGTAAATAAGGATATTAAACATAATATAAAGGGTGAGTCTTAAATAAGTGCAAATATTCTAGAGGTCCAATATTTCGACCCCGGGAACACGTTTATGAGTTTTTTTAGCAAAAAAATGTTAAAAATCTTGCATTTTCTTTTACATTTTTCTGTGAACTTCATAAAACTTTTTAGAACTGCCTGTTCACCGCAAATTTTACCCGGTATAATTTCTTAATCTATGATGTTACAATAGTTACGGCACAAAAAGGGATGCAAATACAGAAAAAAATTCGGTGGCTCATATTTTTTTATAATTTTAACTCGGTTATTTTGGACTTATTTGAAAAACGGTAAAGAGAATATGTTTTTTTTATCTAGAGCCACCAGCCCTGAAAATGTTTGCACTTATATAAGGCTCACCCTGTATATGTTAACGGCAAAGTTTGAAATCAGTCATTGTTTAGAATTCCTAGGAATTATCATCAGATATTGTATGATATATAAATTATACAGGGTGGGTTGGCCGTTAGGCGTTGTTATTTTAAATGGAACACCCGGTATATTATTACATTTTTGAAAATTACTTTGAAATCTCATAATTTTTATATTATACGATACCCTACCCCTTTTTATATTATACGATACTCTACCTATCTTTGGTAGTTTTCGATATAAAAAATAAAACATGTGTAAAATTCATATTCTTGAATAAGTATTGGTTAAATCATAAATTCGGCATATTGAAAGCTGAAATTTGGTTTATAGGTTAAGGAAAGTCGGAATATTCAATCTATGTAAATCCTAATCTAAATCGACTGATTGGATATCAAACAGGGAGGTCGGAAAATATAATTATTTCCATTTGTTATAAAATTACTCAAATCTTTATTATTTTAAATTGCTATGAATATTATTTAAAAAATTATTTCATAATAGAAAATATTATTTCAAAACCCAAATAAAATAGCTTTTCAACGATATAATATCATATTCCTATAAGTACCTAATGAATCCATACCTTTCAATCCTTTGAATTGAAATTTGAAATTCTTGAAATAAAACTATGGTAATATAATTATTAATTTTTAAATAGCTCTAATAAACCGAAAGATTTAGGTATAGGAACATGATATATCGTTGAAAAGCAATTTTATTAGTCTTTTGATTTTTTGAATAATATTTATAGGGTTAAATTTAAAATAACAGAGGTTTGAGTAATTTTATAACAAACGGAAATAAATAATATTTTTATTCTCTCCAATAGGTTTATTTAGACAGATCGAATATATCGACTTTTCATTAACATATAACCCAAATTTCAACTTTAAAAATGGCTAATTCAACCAATGCTTATTCACAATCATGTTTTCGTCAATTTTACACATGTTTTCTAGATGATGAAATTAATACGTTTGCACCAAAATGCTCCTTTGGACGTATCTAAGAATGTTTTGTTTTGTTACAGATTTATCAAGTTAAGGCTGTTTTTTGCTGACAAATGGATTTTATTCAGCGAAATATCTTTCGAATCAGGTAATGTAATTTACATATTTAGGAATACAATTATTTAGGCTGGAATTTTTGGTGTTTTAAACCAATCTTAAAACTCATTTATCACAATACACTAAAATACTGTACTTTTCTGTACTCTCTACGCTAACATTTTAAGCATCAGCATTTTAATATTTACGTCATTTTTATATTTAATATTGTTTGTCATACCTTTCAACTTAGTACCTAGTTTAAAATAGATTTTCACTTAATTATCAGTGATATTGTACAGTTAAATAGCTAAAACCGGTGCAGGACTTTCCTTATACAACAAGCAACAATAACATTCAAACTTGATAAAATAAGTTAAGTTCCCAATACGTTAAAGTTGCGATTGTACTCTGGATCACGTACACATTTGCTACGATTACAGTAAGGCGGCGTAATGCAGTAGTATAAATGGATTCGTGCTTAATAGATTCGGTATCCGATATCGGTATAAATTCTCTTAATAGTTGTTGCTACAACACGAATAAACTTTTCTATTTTCTTAATACAAGCAAATATATACATTATCGCATCAAAAACAAAAATATTCTAAAAATATTCTATAAGTAATATACATTACCCATCTAAAATATATTAATGATAATGTCAATAATTACAAAGACGTATTGTTGAAGGTTGAAGCTGCAACATTTACATCTAATTGCATCGCTTATGCATCAACTAAGCCAAGCTAGTTTTGTAAAGAAGTGGGCATATTGTGACTCAGGTCACAGTAGGCTATAGTTGAGATGGGTAGGTCCGGATGGATATGTATCCACAAACCTCTCTCCGGTGTCGGTACTAGTAATGGGATAACTCGAGCGAAAATTCGCGCGAGTACTTGATTATTGAAATAACCGACATCGCTTGATTATGAACGAGCGACGAACGCAAGCGATTCTATCAAGCGAATTTGCTACATACATTGCAGATTGACAATATTTTATCAGTATTTTTGGTAAAATATCTTCAAACAACAGATTGATTTCACTCGAGTGATCGCTCGATTATTGAAATCGCTTGAAACTCGAGTACTCGATTATTACAATTCATTGGTTTTTCGCATCACTAGTCGGTACTAATGGATGCAAATCCTACTTAATATCGACCCCTATCCGCGGAACTGCATCACTGACAGTCAACTGGCCACGTCGGCGTCGTCCCCAAATAACGCAAACATAAGGATGCAGCGAAATAAATCAGTATTGGAGAGTATGGAATAAAGAAGGAATTGTAATTGCTGCTGAGTTGTATTTACTGTTTTTTAAGTTTACTTTCGTGAAATCGTAACCATATTCGAAATTATTTTGTATTATTTAAAACATTTTGTTGTGTAGTGTTACTGTAAATTATTTTGTTATTTTGTTACTGTAAAATAATATGTTATGATCGTAAAGGGTTCGTCAAATCAATCAGCAGACGAGGACTACGTTCAAATTTAGTTTTCTTTTGTAAATAAATGCCATTTTATATCTTAAAAATATTATCTGTTAAATGCCCATCATTTTGCTTCTAGCATGAAGCAAACCCTATGCGGCAGTCTCGACTATCTTTTATTATGTATACTATATGTCCAACGACAAGATCCTTGACAGTCATTTTAATTTCAAAGTAGTTTATTTTATTTTACAAAGAAATAAGTTGGTACAGCTGGACTGGAACGCATAGCAGGAAATTAATACATTTGAAATTTGACTGATAAGTGATTACTTCAAAATAGTGATGGAAATACCGGTTCCACATGAGTCGCGTTACAATAGTGACCGTTCCAGAAAAATACCGCGACAAAATACCGCGATTTTGTAACCGAGGTTCCGACTTCCAAAGTGTTGCGGTCGTCGCTAAAAGTATATCTAACTTATCTATATTTGTAGATTAATGTAACTTTTATCCGCCACTCATTTTCCAAATATCGAGTTTATAATTGTGTATAGCCAATCTATCTCATTTTTAGAAAAACGCTGACATTCTTTGTTATTTTTTTTTCTTTGTCAATTTTCGTTTAAAGGTCTGTTCCCAGAAGAATCCCTGACTAGTCAGCACGTTTCTCATTGGTTAAAATGCCTAGAAACCTGATTGTTAGTCTGGTTTCTACACATTTCAACCAATAAGAAACGCACTGACTAGTCAGGGATTCTTCTGGGAACAGGGCCTAAATAAAATGAACGGCTCATATTTATGTGTATTGCAATATAATAGGTATATTTTATGTTAAAATCAAGAACAAAGTCCAAACCACTGTCAAAAAAAATTGTTTATTGGTCTAACCTAACTTTAAAACTAGATATAAACAATAAAACTAATATAAATGTATAAAAGCAAATAAAATATTTTTATTTTATTTTATTTGCGTTTCATCTTTCAAACAACACTATTTTATACCATACCTAGTACATACCAAAAATCGCTATTTCGAAAGTAACGAACGTAGCGACGGGAGCACCAACGCCAATAGTAACCGACCAAATCGCGACAGGCAAAACCGAAACCCTAGAAGCGCTCGCGCTCCAGCGACTGCTGGAACGAAGTACGTGGCCGCCGAGGTCGAGCGTCGATAATCAGTTACAGCAGTTACTTGTGTTCGCGACAGGGAACTAAAACTCTAGGACCGCGACGGCGACGGATGGAGCGAAGTAGGTCGCCGCCGAGGTCGAGCGTTGATGCCCAGTTACAGCAGTTACTTCTGTTCGCGACAGGGAACTACAACTCTAGGAGCGCGACGGCTGGAGCAAACACGTCCCGATCGAGATCGCACGGCGCTACGGACATACCAGTTCCAGATACTATTTTTGGCGACCGACGAAATCGCGACGGCTGGAGCTAAACACGTCGCTATGCGGTTACTACGGTTCGAGCTAACTTCAAGTGCGATTATAAATAATTTATTTGCATATTATAAATAATTTATAATTTTGTCGTCATTATGATCGTCGTTCTTCAGTAACAGGTTCCTGATTCGTTGTGGAGCGCGACACGACGTTACAAAAAAATACCGCTCCAAAATCGCGTTACTCAAATACCGACACATCACTACTTCAAAATATTGTGAAAAAAAGCTGTATAAAACTGAAAAAATGTAATCGAGTTATTTTATTTAAAAAACGGTATGTGTTAATACAAAACAAACAAGAACAAAACACCACATACCAAAAAAATATAAAAAAGAACTATTTCTTACTTTCAACCCGCATTTATTATTATATTTATCAATAATAACTTATGTACAGATACAAATTTGTAATATTCCACAGGAATAAATAAAACAACATAAATAAAACAAACTATTTTATTAATAATAACACTTGCCAAATTTTATACCTTAAAGGTTGATTAATTAACTTTCATCTTAGTTTTTTTAAACCAGTACCTTTTGACATTATTTTTCTGCAATACTAAAATCCATTATTTATCTATCATGTGATGTCGATATTTTACAGCTACTCTAGTAGAATATGTTTAGTAAGATCCTTGTAGCATATACGAGATGCACTTATCTACGACGAGATGGTATACAAACTTTATTGATGGTAACTTTATTTTTTTGGTGTATAAGACTTTCTGCCTGGGCAGCGAGTATTAACTATAAACTGTGCTCTGGGTCGACAGTTAATTTTTCTCCACTTGACTTCAAAAGACACAAAACACACGTAATAAAACCAAATAACACGAATCAAAATGTATCATCTTCCAAAACGCAGATATTTGTCATACGTTGACACAAAATTATAACCTATAACTTGGCAAGACTTTGACAAGCCTCAATAATCTAAAAGCGAGTTCATACGCATCGGCGCCCGTTTGTCGTTCATCGTTCCGTCAAACCAATAAAATTGAAATAGGATCTGTCATTTTTGAAATAAACCAATAAAACTCGTTAAAAACAACAAGAGACGACGCATGACGGATTTATATTTAAACTCATCCATAGTTAACTTAAAAATTATTAGAAACTTTTTTTTTAGTAAAATAAATAGATTGGTATGGGACGCCATCTGCTTTTCTTCTGTCATCGTCTGTCGAAATCTTACCTGAGAAAAAAAAACAGAGTATAATATGTAAAGTTCATAATGCTTTTAGTTATAAAAAAATTGAATTTCAAATTAAAAAACAAAAAGTTAGAATTAAACATTGTTTGACAACGCAATCATTTTTTTACATTGATCGATGTCCGTCAATAAGATCATAGCCCCAAATCAAATGAAAATGCCAATTACTAAAAATAATATGTAGTAATTTACGAAATGCCGTAATGACATCACCAATCTCTTTCATCTCGTTGTCAAGTGAAAGAGAGTGTTTGACAATATGTATATGACGTGACGTTCAACGATCGTTGAGCAAACAATACATTTACTTTTGCTTTTAGTATTTAAACTGTTCTTTCCATTAGAAGAACATTTTAAATACTAAATGCAAAAAAAGAAGACTCATTAATATTAGTGGCTTCTGGGATAACCTATATTAATAAAAATTAAAAGAGTTTCCCTCTTGATAAATCCGAGCCCTTCACCAAACTTAATTACGATAAATTTTATGAGAGATTTTTTACAATTTCTTCTTCCATTAACTAAACTCTGAGAAATTATAGAGATTTCTCGGAACGTAATAATGGTCGTGTAATTTTTTAACGATTCCGCATCACAATGGCTATTAATCATCTCCTGGCCGACTCATGGAAATCAGAAAATCACATTGAAATGTCTGAGTTATTAATTTTTCAGTTAGACCGTCGGAGATAACGAGATTTTAACAAGAAAATCGTCTATAAAATTCAAGATAGTACAGATGTTTAGATCATAAATTTAATACTATTTAAAAAAGTTTCTTTTTTAAATCTTTTTTCACTCATATTTATTTTTAATAGCAGGTACTCTGTTATAATTTTAATAATTGGTATTTATTAGATACATTATTATAAAAGACTTTATCTAATAGTGCGGGCGCTAGCCCATGTCTCGTGTGCAGTTATATGTCCCCTAAGTTTTTGTGCGGCG